TAAGATGGACTCTGGAGGGCCTCCAGGACTGTGGGCCCCCAGGATGAGCTGGGCTTAAACTCAGCCACTTTGTAGAGTCTGAGGAGAGCAAGGGGGAGGGTCATCTGTTGTTTCTACCCTCCTGTAAATTGAAGGGGAAAGTCATAGTTTTATAGAAAAGATAACATAGAATAAAAAAGAGACCTTTGTATCTGAAGTGACAATTTTCTGAATAATAGAAGAGAGACCTTTGCATGTTTCTCATTCTAAGAGAGAAAACCAGCGCATATGGTGCTGATGGGGAGGGAGTGGGAAGAGCAGATCGCTCTCTCCGGCAGCACTGTCTAACGCCAGCCAGGCCACTGGGCTGAGCACCGTTCAAGCATTAGCCCTTTGAACGCTTAAAACAACACTGTACCTAAGCGTTTTCCTCATTTTACTGAAAAGGACTGGTTCCTCGAGTTCACACAATTTGTAAATGGAGGAGCTGGGGTTTTAAGCTCAGGTTCTCTGATTCTCAAGTCCAGCTCTTGTTCCTTGAGCAACCGTTGGTATAGCCGTGTCCGCCAGTGCCCACCTCCCCTTGAAATTGTGGCTCTGCCCCTGCTATGAAAGCTGTGCTCTGTCCTCCAGGCCAACATGGGCCCTCTTGGGACCAGAGCAAGACCTTGTGCAGAAGCAGGAGAATTCCGGGCTTCCCCCCCGTGTCATCCGTGTCAGCTGGGGATCTAAGTCATGTTGCATGTGCTGCTACTGAAAATAGGGCTTTGGCTTCTGTCAGTTCTTCTTCTCCCCCCCCGTGTCATCCCGTGTCAGCCGGGGATCTAAGTCACGTTACATGTGCTCCTCCTGAAAATAGGGCTTTGGCTTCTGTCAGTTCTTCTTCTTTCCCTGGGGTTCAGGGTAGGACTAGAGACAGATACCTTTTTGCCTCCTCCATTTTCCCGTCTCTCTGATATAGCAGAGACTGGGGTTGGTCTGTTTACTGAAAATGCTAGTTGAAATGGGGTGTTATAAACAATGAAACAAGTGTTTCTAAACATTTTAAGACCTATAACTACACATTCTTTTACCACTCTTACGATATCAAAGACCCTTTCTTTGAGTAGAAGACACAAATCGGAGCTCTATTATCCTCCTTAGGTAATCACAACCTTCATGCATATCTGTGGGTTCTGTTTTATTTTTTATAAACCAGATATGTGAAATGAATGTTGAAAGATATTTTCTTTTCTAATCTCCTAGCGTCATCGTGCCCACACCTAATTTTTTTTTTTTTTTGCAATGCACTCGCATGGAGTTTTTCCAAAGCAGTTAACCTAGTTTTCCTAGCAATAATAACTTGCTGTTTCACACCTACCAGCTCATGTACTTTTAAATTAAATTACATAACTAGAGTAGCAGATATAATTGCCGCAAAGGGGCTTGGGAGCACACAGGATTGCTTCTTGGTGCCCGGGAGCAGCTGTGAGTGTCCTGTGCCCCAAGTGACCTGCTGCCGGCACTCAGCATGCTTCCAGGGGTGGGAAGCCCCGGGGGAACCTAGTGGGTCCAGCTGCTGCAGGCCCCCTCCTAGTGTCTACTGCACCCCTCTGATTGTCCAGCCCCTAGAGAGGCCCCATGCGGACGCATTAATGAGAAGTGAAGTGACTGATTTAGGGCTTGGCCTGATTGGTTAGACATGCTTAGGCAGGCCAGCATCCCCAAAGTAGGCCAACTGAGAATCTTAAAAATTAAAAAAACCACAGAACTTATCCCCCACCCCCCACCCCCTGTGGGCAAATAGAAGTATCTTGCCTGCTTTCATGTATAAACTGGTTGATATATATTCCTGTATCATAGGATCATAAAGATGGCTTCTATTTCCTCAGCGGTGAAAACTGCCTTTTTAGAGGCCTCCAAGCCAGAACTTAAAATTTAACTTTGGCTTTGGTGCCACCAAGTGGTTGGTTGTGAGATACCACTCTCGAAGAGAAAGTTGAATAAACACCATGATAACAAGAAATCTGAGCTGAATAGGCAGAACACAGGATTTTTAGGGCAGTGAAACTGTTTTGGATGAGATTACAATAGTGGATTCATGTCATTATTTGTTCAAACCTACAGAATGTACACCATCAAGAGTGTACCCTAACCTAAACTATGACTCTAGGTGATAACGTATCAGTGTAGATTTATTGATTGTAACAGTGTGCCACTATGCTGGGGGATGTTGATAATGGGGAGGGGGTGATACATATATGGGGGTAGGGGTTATGGAAACATCTGTACTTTATGCTCACTTCTGCTGTGAACCTAAAACTGCTTAAAAATAAAATAAAACTTATTGCCCTAGCTGGATGGCTCATTTTGTTGGAGTGTCGCCCTGTACAACCAATTGTTCTCTCTCTCTCTCTCTCTCTCTTTCTTTCTTTCCCTTCCATTCTTTCTAAAATCAATAAACATATCCTCAGGCAAGGATTTTAAAAAAGCTTATTGATTAAAAAATCTTTTATTCTACATATTTTCTCCCTTGAGCAACTGGTGTTGCAGGTAAGAGCAAGGTAAGATAGAGACACCCTCCGAGAGGCTGGCTGGCTTCTCGGGCATGAATGAAAACCCCCTCATGAACCTCCCATATTCCAGAGTCTGGGTCCTTCGCTCTGTAAATCCCAGAAACCTTTTATTTTTTTCAGTGTATCCAGAGTTGTTCAGTTTTCCAGGGTTATATCATGCTCACCAAATGTCAGAATGCCAGGGTATCACTATACAATTGGAAATGTAGTTGTAGCGGTGGACCAAAGCACGTTAGCTGAGCAGTTCATTTCCCGCCAGCAGCAAATTTATATGGGAAGACAAATTATACTGAGTGGGTCATTTGGTGAAGTCTCAGTGGCATGATGAATGTGTGGTCAGGGGAGTGGGGAGCATAAGGTTTTTTAAGTTGACTCTGACTTGACCACTGTAGGTCTGTATATAATTCAGATGATAACACTCACATGGCCGGGTGTACAGATCCTGGACAGTGCAGAGGACAGATTGACCTTGTCTGCTTCTTTGGGCCCCTTTTTGGAAAGTCTATGCCAGGCATCTTGCTTCTATTAATCCATTCTCCTCAAACGGGACACAGTGTAACTGGCAATATTAATACTGTAGACTCGTGGATGTAGCTCCCGTCTCCTGAGAATCTGGTCACCACAGCACCATCGGTATAGGTTTTTGCTTAGGGGATCTGCTCTACTTTACCTCATGATAATTTTCAGTTCTTTCATTCTCAGAGAAAAACTTATGTTTTTAGTGATTCTGTCCCTGAATGCAGATTAAAATTAATACGTAAGATCCTTAATCACATTGGAGTAGATTCTTAACAGCAAAACAGTACTTGCTGACGATGGACATTATTCTAGGTTCTGAGTCAGTAAGAAGGCGTTTGTGCAGCGGACCTCACTGCCTGCTTGCATTTACCAGCCTTGTCCTGTGATTCCTCATTGGAGCTCAAGGTATCGCTGGTTCTTGGTGCAGCACCTCCCCACCCCTCCCTCTGTCCTTGCCCCAAACTGCTGCCATGTAGGGTCCTCAGTCAAGGCGACTTGGAGAATATTTGCAGAATTGATAAATTAGTGGCTCGTGGTTGGAATCTGATCCACAGATCTTATTTATTTATTTATTTATTTATTTATAATCCTCACCTGAGCAGTGAGGATATTTTTTCCATTGATTTTTGGAGAGAGCAGAAGGGAGATGGGAGGGATATATATATATATATATATAGAGAGAGAGAGAGAGAGAGAAACATCGACGTGAGAGAGACACATTAATTTGTTGCCTCCTGCTTGCATCCTGACTGGGGCCAGGGACTGAACCTGTAACCAAGGTACATGCCCTTGACCGGGAATGGAACCCGTGACCCTTCAGTCCAAGGGCCGATGCTTTAACTACTGAGCCAAACTGGCCAGGGCAGATCTCCTTTATTTTTGGCAAAATGTTTTTTAAAGTTTGACTCAATGGCCACAACTTAAAATCAGGAGGTTCATAAAAAAACTCTGAGTATACAGTTTCTTTGCAAACAAGTAGGTCTGGCTAAGAAGGGCCTACATTCCCACAGGGAACAAGTTATTGGAATGGCCTGGGTAGGGCATGCCTCTTCCAACTATCCTCAGTCCCACCCTACCCTTTCACTCATTTATGTTACTGCTCGGTATTGGGGCGAGCGGGACTCTTTGTGACTTGAAAAATCAAAACCAAAAATAAAACACAGACACAAACCAAGCATAAGGAATGCAGTGGCTGCCCCTGGATGCGCTCCCTGTCTCTTGCCTGCCTCCTGAGGGGACGCCTTCCTTGGATCCTGTTCCCAGCCTCTTTCTCTTCAGAACCTCCTTCTCTCATTGTGCCACCTCTGAATTCATCCCTCGTGCTTCCAAGAGGTGTGGTGCTGGAGTGTCGTTGAGGAAAGCATACAGACTTCGGGATCACAGACGTGGGTTTGCATCCCAGCTCTGTGCCTCAGTGAGCTCAGTTTCCTTTTCTGTGAAGTGAGGGCTGTACCTCGCCTCATAGACTGGTATGAGTACCACATGGGTTTGTGTACGAAGCATCAAACAGAAGGTGGGTACTCGTATAAGAGTGTCTCTGCTCCTCTCTCTCTTTTTTTAAATCAAGATATGGCTCTTTCTCTACTTCATGACCTTGAAGAAGTCAGCTGCACTTCCAGCTCTGCTTTCCCGCCACATACACCTCTTTACTCTCACGATAAAGCCAACTATTTTATTTATTCCTCATAGCTTCCAGTCTTTTCCATCTGCACATTTCAAATATTTTCCTTTTCCTTTTGTAGCCAGACCTCTCAGAGACTCCCATCTGAGACTCCTGAAGGGCAGGTGAATTTGTTTGGGGAAATTCTGTAAGGACGCACAGCTTTTATCAAATCTCTACAATCACTGTACATAGTTTTGTGATGGCAAATACTTTAGCTTTTACAGCAGTCTGTTGGAATTCTTTCTAAATATATGCACCTTTCCCCATCTATTTTATCTCTACAGAAATAGAGCCAAGATCCAAAGCTGGAAATACCTCAACAGGAAAAATTGGTACCGGAAGGGAGACACTTCGCCTGAGGTCAAAAGGTCCTGCCACTGTGGAAGAAGTGGTATGTTATGTTCATTTAGCCCTCATTCTGCTTGCACATGTACAGGCATTTATGGTTATTAGAGCTGAAAAGAAAGGTAAAACCATGAGGTAAATAAGGTGCCATACATTCCAGTTAAAGCACAGACTTTAATTCATTGCCTGCTTACCAGTATTGAAATTATCGAAGGATTTAAGAAGGAATATAGGAACTAAGTGTATGCGAAGAGACTGTGATCCAAAGCAATCCTGAGCTTCCTGCAGACAACTTTTTTTTTCTGGAGTCTGTGGACATCTGGACTGGCTCAAAATGTTTAAGATATCAGCCAAAGCTCGGAGAGCCAAGAAAAGTCTCAGAGCCACCTGTTGGAGTAAATATACTTCCGATTTTGGTAATAAAAGATAATATGCATGTGAGAGCCAAGGAAAGTCTCAGAGCCACGTGTAGGCATAAATAGTAGTATACTTCCGATTTTGGTAATAAAAGATAATATGCATGAATTCCAGTCTCCTCAGGTGACACATTCTATAGTCATCCTTGACTGTTCTCTGTCATGTCCCACATCCCTCCCATCAGCAAATCCTGGTGGATCTGTGTCCACAATAGGCCAGAATCCAACAACAACTCACCACCTCTACTCCCACCACTTGGGTCCAAGGCACCATGTCTTATCTTGAACATTACAATCACCTGGTCAGTCTTCCTGTGTTCACCCTGGCCCTCTTCCCTCTGCGCTCAGCACAGCAGCCAGAATTTTCATTCAAAAACACCAATGAGGTTAAATTTCTTTTCTGTTCAGAACCCTCCGTTAGCTTCCCATGCTACTCTGGATAAAAGCCGAAGTCCTCCGCATGACTGACATGATCCAACTCTGCATTGCTTCTCTGATCTCATTTCCCTCCACGGTTCCTGTCTTCCTCTGTGTCAGCCACCTGAGGCTCCTTGCTCTCCCCAGACAGGCCAGACGTATGCTGCCACCACAGGGTCTTTGTACCACTGTTTCCTCTCCCGGAATGCTTTGCCCATTTGTGAGCATGACTCCCGCTCTGGCCTTCTTCAGGTTTCTGCCCACATATCACCTTCTCTGAAAGGATGCTTCTGAGTATCCTGTATAAAGAGCTATTCCTGCCACCCCTCCCACTGCCTAATTTTTCTTCCTTTACTTTTCTTCAAAGCAGGAAACACAATAGGACTCGTTGTCTCCTTGTTTCCTTTTTGTCTATTGTCTGGCTCCTTTGCTCACATGTCTTGTTCACTGTGGTGTCCCAGCACCTAGAATAATAGTACCTGACACAACAAAGGAGCTCAAATCTTTGCTGAATTAATGAATTAACAAATGATTCACTTAAGCTTGAGCAGAGGGAGGGTTTCACTGATTAACTGGGTCAGTAGTGGAGTGAAAAACACCAGAAGTAGAAGAGACAAATGGAAGGAGGAAGGGTGGACCAGGAGGGCAGCAGGGGTGAGGGGCAGGATTCAAAGTGGCAAGCGGCAGGTCAGGCCCACTCACAGCAGCAAAGACAGCAGCGATGTGACGGTTGCCCTGTGGGCACAGGGGAGATGAGGCAGGTGTCTGAGGCCAGGGGGCTTCTGAAGGCAGGGGCCCAGGCACTGGGCCCGTCTAGTCCCTCTGTGTGCGCTTATTGTCCGAGGATCCCCCAGGTGTTTGAAGAGCAAAAGAGTGAGACAGGTGAGCCATTAGGAGGGTCTTTCTACAGACCAGGATCCCAGAGCTTGTGGGGTGACCATGGTCAGAGTCAGCCATGGGGGTGGCTTGATGGGGCAGATACTCAAGGGACCATGAGGCCAAGATTATCCTGAAGGTTTGAGTCACCCAGGGTGTTGTGAGTTTTGGGGAATCAGCCATGAGGCCAAGATTATCCTTCTGAATGTTTGAGTCACCCAGGGTGTTGTGAGTTTTGGGGAATCTAGGGGGAGATTTTGAGTCAGGTGACTTGGTCCTGAATGTCTGAAAGGATTGATTTGGAGGCAAAGGGCAATGAAGAGATTTGGAGGGTAAAAGGCATTTTGAAAGTGAGATATGATGAGGTATGTGAAAAACCAAAACCAAAACCCAGGGCAGTGACTTCTGGTCATTCCGAGTCTTTACCTTTCCCGTGCCCAGCACACTACCGGGCATATTGCTGAAGTCTATTTCATGTGTATTGAATGAAGGAACACACCTCAGTGGGAGACAGGAACATGTAAGAGAATGGAACAATAGTGGGAGCTCGCTCGCAGTGAGCAGTTAGGGGGTTGAGGCTGGTCTGCACAGGAAGCAGGGGCGGCAGGGGAAGCTCCAGGTCACTGCAGGAGAAGTGTCTTCTGATAGTTAACATGGCTAATATTTTTGAACACCGGCTTTGTATGAGCTGCTGGAATGAAGAGAAGCTGAAGATCCATGTGGGGAGGTAGGAAAGATTTATTCAAAGATAAACGTCTAAAACTCCATTCCTATTCGCACAGCCTATTTCATTAAACAGGGCAATTAAAATAGCTCATAATGGAAGGAAAAAGCTAGTTTGGTGCTAACATTAAATTTGATACAAATAACTTACGATCTATTTCACACACTAAAGGGTTTATAGCAGCGGTTCTCAACCTGTGGGTCGAGACCCTTTGGGGGTTGAACGACCCTTTCACAGGGGTCACCTAAGACCATCGGAAAACACATATATAATTACATATTGTTTTTGTGATTAATCACTATGCTTTAATTATGTTCAATTTGTAACAATGAAAATACATCCTGCATATCAGATATTTACATTGCGATTCATAACAGTAGCAAAATTACAGTTATGAAGTAGCAACGAAAACAATTTTATGGTTGGGGGTCACTACAACATGAGGAACTGTTTTAAAGGGTCACAGCATTAGGAAGGTTGAGAACCACTGGTTTATAGGATTAAAAAAACATCCCCTCATAACCTAGCACCACTTCTGATGTTAACTAGACTTATTGTGATGATGATTTTGTGAACAATACTCCACCTAATTTATTCAATATATGTTGTGGAGATAGGCATGGTCCAGGTGCTGGTGATAGGATACCAAGATGAACAAAGACCGTGCTTTCCTTTAAAAGGAGAGAGACATGAAAAGAAGTGATTACACACCAGAGCCATAGGGTTAAGGTCCCAAAGCAGGGACTGATCAGCTGCTGTCAGGGATGGGGGGAGAGGGGAGGTCAGAGAGAGTTCCCTCCAGAAGAAATGATCGGTTCAAGGTGGTGAGAAGAGTGTTCCAGGCATGAAGCAATGATGGGTTTGGGGGCCTTATAGCGTCCATGGGATTGGAGTGTGAGTGCTGGAAGTTTTGGTGGGGTTGGTGAGGCTGGAGGTATAGGCCTGGGTCAGGATGTGAGGGTCCATGGATCATGGGGGAGCCATTTAGGAAGTATGAGGGGAGCAGCACAATTTTGCATTTTAGAAAAATCCCTTGGTTCTGGGGGATGAGTTGTTGAGCAGGATGGGTTTGAGAGGGAAGATTGTAGGCAGAGAGACAGAAAAGGAAACCCTTGCAAATAAGAAAAGATGGAGAATATTATTCAACCTTAAAAAAGAAGGAAATCCTGCCATTTGTGACAGCATGGATGAACCCTGAGGGCATTATGCTAAGTGAAATAAATCAGACAAAGAAAAATGCCACATGCTCTCACTTATATGTTGATTCTAAAGAAAAAGAAAACAAACCTAAACTCATAGGCATAGAGAACAGAATGGTGGTTGTTAGAGGCAGTGTGGGGGATGGGCAAAATGGGTAAAGGTGATTAAAAGGAACAAACTTCCGATTATAAATATGTCCTGGGGATGTACTGCACAGCATGGTGACTGTGGTTAATAATACTGTGCTGTATATTTGAAAGTTGCTAAGAGAGTAGATCTTAGAAGTTCTCATCACAAGAAATAAAAAGTTGTAACTATGTGTGGTGATGCATATGAATTAGATTTATTGTGGTGATGATTTTGCAATACCTACATATATCCCATTATTGTGTTGTACACCTGAAACGAATGTAGTGTTATGTCAAGTATATCTCCATTAAGAAAAGAAAAGAAAATAATAGGAAAGAAAAGGAAAGAAAAGATGAGCTCTGCCCAGGCAATCAGAATGTGAATGGAAGAAAGGGGATGAGCTCAAGAGCTTTTTGGAATAGTGAAATCCTGTGGCTATTTTGTATGGGAAGTTCTGTAATACTTGTTGCAGTCACTCACACAATGGCTGGGTAGATACAAAGGTGAACACCTAAGTTACTTTGCACAGTCTGTTGCTTTACACTGACCATTCAGAAGACACTGTAAAGAAAGCAAGAGTGAGGTATGGTATGTTATTATTTTAAAGGCTTAGTGAATATAAATAAAAATATGAGAAAGTTGTAACAATATCCTCAAGGAAATAAAAATAAAATTTTATTGGCAATAAACATTTTGAGACTACAAAGCAACGTATATTTATGACAATATTAAAAGTATGAATCTTTTACAATATAATCGTGAATTTAGCACTCGCAGTCATAGTTATTTAACATCTTTGGGCATTTATTTTTCAACTATGAAGCCATTTAAAATCAAGTATTGAAATAAATAGCATAGGACAAGACTTTATTAAATATAAAACTAAGATTTAAAAAGAATAATAAAATACAGAGTGGGGCAAATGTAGGCTTACAGTTGTGAGTATGCAAAACAGTTTATTCTTGTATTAATATTTATTAATTACTGGAGGCCCGGTGCACGAATTCGTGCATGGGTGGGGTCCCTAGGCCTGGCCGGCAATTAGGGCTGATTGGGGCCATCTTGCCCTGTCCCAATCAAGGTCAGGCTGATTGGGGCCTGTCGGCTGGGGGGAGGGATAGGGGAAGGGACTGCAGGAGGTTGGCCAGCCGGCTGCGTGGAGGGACCAGCTGGGGGGAGGGACCGCAGGAGGGTGGTCAGCCAGCCCTGATCGGGCAGGTAGGGCTAGTCGGCTGGGGGGAGGGACTGGCTGGGGGAGGGACCGTGGGAGGTTGGTTGGCCATGGGAGGTAGGCTGTGGGAGCGTACTGACCACCAGGGGGCAGCTCCTGCATTATTGAGCATCGCGACTGGTTGACTGTCCTGGTCATTCGGTCATAACGGTCGCTTAGGCTTTTATATATATAGATTGTATTTTCTATACAAACAAATATAAACCTACTTTCGCCCCACCCTGTATATCCAATCATGTTTTTCACTGAAACTTTTAAAAAACATTGAGTTATATCATTCTTTTAGTTTGAGGTGTTCAACATAATGATTTGATATTTGTATATACTGCAATTCACTGAAACTTTGAATAACAGTTTTAGGAAGAACAGAAATGTTTTAGTAACATTAAAACATAAGACAAAAGTTACTTTAAAAATATTTCATTATGACCTTATCCTTATAAAATTTTTTAAAAAAATATTTTTATTGATTTCAGAAAGGAAGGGAGAGGGAGAGAGAGAAATATAGAAATGTCAATGATGAGAGAGAATCATTGATTGGCTGCATCCTGCACGCCCCTACTGGGATCGAGCCTGCAACCCGGGCATGTGCCCTTGACCTGAATCGAACCCAGGATCTTTCAGTCTGCAGGCTGATGCTCTATCCACTGAGCCAAACTGGTTAGGGCCTTATAAAATTTTTTTTGTGTGTATTTTATGATGTCCATAATAGATGAATATGGTAATACATGTGTATAATTTATAAAACCTGCAAATAACACAATGAAATAAAAGGTAACCAGTAAGGGTATGTGTTCAGAAATGTTTTATCTTGGGGTGAGCTGTTAAAAGGTTTGGAGACTGGCCTGCAGGACCAAGACCAGAGCCCTTTGCATGGCACCCAGGACCCCTTAGGATCTAGTCATATGTCTGCCACTGTGTTTCTCATCACAGTGGACTTTTTGAAGTTCCTGTGACAGGCTATGATCTTGTATCAAACTCTGCGACCTCGAATAGACTTTGCGTAGTTAGTGCCTTCTACATGCAGCACCCTCTCCAGCTTATCTTTGAAAACACAATCCTTGTCACCTTCTTTCTGAAGTCTTCCATGACTCTTAGAGATTTAAATTTACTTCCCCCATGATACCTCTGTACCTTAAATATCATTAAAAATTATCTTTATCATTGTCATATAGCTATTTATTTTTACATTTGTATCCCCTTCTAGATTGTTAGCTACTTGGAGACTGTGTTCTTGGCCATTCTTTGAATCCATGACACTTAACACTGACACTAAAAATAAGTATTTATTGTAAAGATTTGTATTGAGTTGCAGAGCACATTCTAGATATATTTTCCATTCAAATTAGCTGAAATAAACAACCATGAACTGGCTCTACCTCAGATTTCCCCCAATGTGTGCCCTGACATTCAAGAGATTTCATATACAAGTGTAATAGCTTATTTCTCTTTTCTTTGATAAAGCCCTCTGAAAACAATGCTAAGGCAATTGAAAAGGTTGATGATCTTCTTGAGATGTACATGGGAATTCGAGATATTGAATTAGGTAAGATTATACTATTTTAAAAAGTCTTCTATTTTTTTAATTTGATGGAACTTAATGCTTATTTGTATCTTTCTTGCATTGATAGTCAATGATACTTTTCAAGATGAAAAGTAATTGTATAGTAATGAAAAGCATAATGAAAATAGAGATAATGAAGAATAATGAAAAGAAGGTCTGGCCTTTACCACTTACCAGCTGGGAAGCCTTAGGGTCAAGTTAACAGTTCTAAACTTTTATTTATAGGTTTATTTTATAGATTTAAAAATATATATGAAAAGAATTTTGTAAATGATACATAAACACAGTATTATTTGACATATTAGCTGCACATCTATTACATTGTATGTTTATTATATTCAAGTTGTGCACATTTATAAGATTAATGAAGTCCTGTGATAAATGAACCTGGTGTGTGACTGACAAGGGCAGTTGAGCAGTGAATTTCTTTGTGTGTGTGTTTTTTTTAAATATATTTTTATTGATTTCAGAGAGGAGTGAGAGGGAGAGAGAGACATCAATGATGAGAGAGAATCATCGGTCAGCTGCCTCCTGCAGGCCCCACACCAGGGACTGAGTCTGCAACCCAAGCATGTGCCCTGACCGGGAATCAAACTGTGACCTCCTGGTGGTTCATAGGTCGATGCTCAACCACTGACCAATCCGGCTGGGCAATGCTCTCTGGGTATTTCTTATGTCACCATTAGGATGTCAGAGTCTTGATTTATCAATTAAGACTTTCTCAGTTATAAATAATAAAACAACAAACTGAACTCCAATCGACTTAAGGAAAAAATAAGGTGTGTGTGTGGAGGATGTATTGGTTTTTGTAACTGAAAAGTCCAGAAGTAGATTCTGGCTTCAAGAATGGCTAGATCCAGAGTTCTCATGCTATCATCAGGATGTGATTTCTCTTGTCTCCATTCTGGTTTCATTTTAGGCCCCCATGGTATCCCTTGGCAGCTTCAGGCCCTCCCTCATGAGCTCAAAATGACTGCCATGGCCCCACCCTCTACATCTTGGTGTCAAACACAATGGGAAAGAGGGAGGGCCTTTGCCAAGCCATTCAAACAAAATGCTCAGGATTGTCTCTGATTGGTTTGATTGGCCCACTTGATCCAGTCACTGAGGCTAGGGGGATGTTAGGTCTGGGTCACACCTCTCGAGCTGAGAGTAATTTCTGAAATACAAAGGCTGAGATTGTGAAAGCCCTGGTGCCTTCTATGAAGGAAGAAAGAGAAATATTCCCTTAAGAAGGGGAGTTGGCTGCTGGGTGGGGAAAGAGTATATGTGCACTTAGTGGTGGGGTTTGTGCCTGTATGCATCCTTGTGTGTGTGCTTGGGTGTGTGTTGCATCAAGTACTTAATAAATTGTTTTTTTTTTTTAAATAAGTGTTTAAAAAGTTGATTTTAGAGAGAGGAAGGGGAAGGGAAGGAGGGAGCGAGGGAGGGAATGAGGAAGGGAAAGAGAAAGAGGGAGAGAGAGGGAGAGAGAGAGAGAAACATCTGTTGGTTGCCTCCTCCATGCTCCCTGACTGCAGGGTTGAACCTGCAACCTGGGTATGTGCCCCAATTGGAAATGGAACTGGTCACTTCTTGGTATATGGCAAGATGCTCTAACCAACTGAGCCACACTGGCCAGGGCTGGTACCATGCTGTTTTGATGACTATGCCTTGTAATGTAGTTTGATATCAGGTAGCCTGATTCCTCCAACTTTGGAGAACCCCACTTTTAACAAGTGAAAACTTAGAACAGTCCTCAACTTTAAAACTTAATTTTACATATAGGCCTTATTGTTATTTAAGTATAAATTGGGAATAGTTCAGTAAGTTAGTTTTGCTCCTTTGTTATTAAAAATACACAGTATATAAGGAAGAGCATTGGGCAGTGCTACAAGTAATTATAAATGAATTAATCAGTTTTTGAAGAATCAATTTTCTTTCACTCTGACCTATTCAGGGAACTAGATGTTCCTTGCAAATTTCTTATAAATTAAATAGAAATCCCTTCATAATTAATCATCTGTAGCAGGTTCCTCCAATGACATGAATAGTCATTATCATTGTACATGATTAGCAATGTGGTCACCAAGGGAGGTAAAGTTCAAAGAAAGTAATTATTTGAAGAATGCAAACATTGTTAAATTAGGAATTTCTCTCATTCAGATCTAATTAACATGATATGTAAATCACAAATGTGAAACTGCTTCAACAGATGAATTATTTATATTCCCTGTGTTTCTTAGTTTTCAGAAATGTTAATTCTTTAAAAAAATATTTTTATTGATTTTAGAGAGAGGAAGGGAGAGGAGTAGAGAGATAGAAACATTGATGAGAGAGAAACGTTGATAGATGGGCTGCCTCCTGCACGCCTTCCACTGGGGATCAAGCCGAAACCCAGCATGTGCCCTGACCGGGAATTGAACTAGTGATCTCTTGGTTTATGGGTCAATGCTCAACCACTTAGCCATGCCAGCAAGACTTGAAATGTTAATTCTTAATGAAAATTATACTGATATTATGTTATTCTGGAGATGTTAATACTAAAAACTTTAAAAAGTAATATGGCAATTAAATATCTAAAAACAAAACAGTAACCTCAACCCCCCTCCCCCCAACACACACACACACACACACAAAACACCAAACCAAACCAAACAAGAACCTCAACACATTGGGATGTATTTACTATTTGAAAATGAAAAATAATTCAAATGAGTTTCTGGACCAAGTAACCCTGAAGATAAAAGTGCTCTGTTTGGTTATAAAGTTAAGTTGTGAACTATGACTTTTCAGATGACCTATTGCCTTGGAATGTTACCCATTGGGGAAAAAAAAGGTTCTGGAAGATTGTGAATTAAGACCTTATATAGAAACATTGATGAGAGAGAAACATTAACTTAGTGGGAAATTGTATAATATAAATTTCTTAATGAATATTAAGATGTAGTGTAATTTGTATATAGAACTATAATATTTTCTGGTGATATCAATTTAGGAGTTTGGTGATTATTCTAAGAACTTTGGACTTTTTGGATTTCTAATTTATAAAGAGATCCAGAAATGTGTAGTAAGGAAATCTGAGTGCTAGTTTCTAAGTCATATTTTCCTATAAAGTCTTTTTTTAGCTCTTTTAAAAGTATATGATAATGGTATTTTAATCAAGATAGTGACATTTCTTCCTAGGATGATTTTTCTTTTTTGAGTAATGTTAAAACAATAAATATTATAAAAAGTTATCCTTCCCAGGTAAAGCCAATAAAGTTTTGGAAATAGATTTCATTAAAAGAAACTACATTAGCTCTATTTTGAAGTTTGACTCATGTGGATTGTTTGACATGAGTTGACATTATGAAAAGTCTTAGGGAAAGTAAGTGTTGAAGACCTTCCATAGAAAGAGATACAGTTACAGATTTAAAGGTTAAATTAACAATGGTGGTAGTTAATCTTTTTTTCTTTTTTTAGTGCTCACCCAAGGATATTTTCCCATTGATTTTTAGAGAGAGTGGAAGAGAGAGGGAAAGACAGAGAGAAATATCAATGTGAGAGAAACACATAGATTGGTTGCCTCCAGAGCCCGGGCCGGGGAGGAGCCTGCAACACAGGTAACGTGCCCTTGACCAGAATTGCACCAGGGACCCTTCTGTCTGCAGGCTGACACTCTACCCACTGAGCCGAACCAGCTAGGGCTGCTGGTGGTTAATCTTTATCTAAATTCTGCCATGTGCCATTTTATTAAAACAGATTCAGAGAAGTTTGGTAACTTGTTCAAAGTCAGCTAACATGTTAAGAGCAGAGATTCAATTCTGACACTTTGATACCAAGATTTTTCACCTGCAGTAATGTTGTATGTCTGAAGTTCTGTTTAAGTATTTAAGAACTTAGTGGAAAATACAGATTGATCAGTATCACCAAAATAAGTGTCATTAATAATGTAAAAGTTGTTTAGTATTGGTAACGGTATAAAGATATCCTTGAAATAGCCACAAGAGGTCAGCACTTAGCTGTTACATGTGGTATAACAAGTCTACTGTTAGTGGAGTATTTTTCCCCAAATTGTATTCAGTTGTTAAATATTATTGCAGTGCATTGCAAATGTATTATTGTTAACAGATGAGAAGCATTTTAATAGCTGTGGTTATGTTAATGTGATATGTTTTCCTAGTTCCTTTGCATTCTCTTAAATCAGAGATACAGTCTTTTATGAAAAAGAATATTATCATGCCAGTTTATTTCTCCTGTAAGGATGTTTCAAATCTATGTTTATACTTTAGGTATTAGCAAAAATTCATGACACGCTCGGTGCATACTGCATTCTCAATTTCTGTTAAAAATTTTGTAGCAGCCCTGACCGGTTTGGCTCAGTGGAGAGAGCGTCGGCCTGTGGACTGAAGGGTCTCAGGTTCGATTCCGGTCAAGGGCATGTACCTTGGTTGCGGGCACATCCCCAGTAGGGTGTGTGCAAGAGGCAGCTGATCAATGTTTCTCTCTCATCGATGTTTCTAACTCTCTATCCCTCTCCCTTCCTCTCTGTAAAAAATCAATAAAATATATAAAAAAATTTTGTAGCAAATTTGATTTTTAAAAGATTTATGGAACACTGTATTACACACAGTATTTCCAACACAATTATGAAGCTGCCTAATTGGTATTTTTATTGCTTCTACAAGATCAGGAGTTTCTTGAAGGCACCATATCTTACTCAGGTTTTAATCCCAGCTCCTACCATAGTACTTCTTCCATAGTAAATGCTTGCTGAATATTTGTTGACCAAATGTCTGATGAGAGGCACAAAAATGAGAGTCCATAGGGAGTCTGAGTCCTAATTTCATTAGCTTGAAGCTTTCGCCTTTGAGCAAATTATTAAACTTTGATTCTTAAGTTCTATATCTGTAAAATGGGTACAATAAAAACTTCATAGGGTTGTCAAAGCATTCTAATATGTATAGTTTCTCTCACATCATAATTAATAGACATAGCTGTTATCATCCATAGCAATGATCATTACTAATTATTACTAGTAATAATGGTCATGGAGTGAGAACATGTAGGGATGTATAACTGGACTTGGGGCCAACTCTGGGACTATATTGTGTGTAGGACTTTTTCTTCACTTTTCTCCTCTGTGTGCCAGCATGCGTGTATGAGTGAGATTATACAGCTTGGGCTGTCAGGGTATAGAATGGGGATTTTAAATCATCATTTTTCTCATTTTGTGACCAAGGAACCCAAACCAGAGATTGCAAATGAGGTCAGACCAGGTCTGAACAAGGTGTTCCTGGGCTCAGTACACCAGACAATGCTACTGAGCTTCCTGAGGTACTAGAAAACCATGTACCAAGCATTTTTTTTACAGCTGCGCGCGTGCGTGTGTGTGTGTGTGTGTGTGTGTGTGAGAGAGAGAGAGAGAGAGAGAGAGAGAGAGAGAGAGAGAAAGAGAGAGGGGGAGAGGGGAGGGGGGGGGAGAGAGAGAGAAAGGGAGAGAGATTGGTTGATTCAGTGTCCATCAGTGTCCTTGTTTTTCTCACTATTCAAGAGCATCAGTCATCTGCACTGTTAGCCCTGGCCGGATAGCTCAGTTGGTTAGAGCATCGTCCTGACACACCAGGGTTATGGGTGTGATCCCCAGTCAGGGCACATACAAGGAGCAACCAATGAATGCATAAATGAGTGGAACAACAAATCGATGGCTCCGGAGAGGGCAGCGGTAGCAGCTGCAAACCTGGGTATAGTGGATAGATCGTTTAAAAAATATCATTGCTACTTGGATATGTGATTTTTGTACTAGAAATATGTGATAACTATGCATGTTCCTTTTAGAAAGCAAATTTTCTGGTGCTATTTTTCTTAGTCCTCTGATGCTGTCTCAAGTATCAATAATTTTTAAAATCTATTTTTGATAGCTACCACAATATTTGAAGCTGGAAAGGACAAACGTAATCCAGATGAGTTTGCTGTGGCACTTGACAAAACTCTTGGAGACTTTGCGTTCCCAGATGAATTTGTCTTTGATGTTTGGGGAGCCGTTGGTGATGCCAGACGAGGAGGATTATGATGTGGCTGGTCCATCACTGGAGAAATGAACCATTGTTCCTGTGTGTGTGCGTGTTTTTTTTTTTTAAATAAACCTATAAGGTCTGTTTATGGACACTGGTTTGGTTTTATGTGTATGGAATACATTCTTTTTTTTGAAATATAATTTTGATTTCTGGGTACTTTTTAATGCAGATGAATATATAGGATGCTTAAGATAAATTACCTAACATTTGATCAATTTTAATATCATTTAAAAGTTATTTTTAAAATAAATTTTAGGGAATGTTTCTGGATAGATAATTTTGTTCCCCATTAACACCCATGTTTGGTTTTCTACATGTAAGTAGTTGATTGCAATAGCTTTGTAGTTCTTTTGCAAAATCTTAAGGCTTGGAGTATGATTTACTTCATAGCATCTTCATTTTGTTATGTTAGCTTGAATAGGATATGTTTAGGAAATAACATGTGAATTTCACCTGCTGTAGATCTAGAAGCACTGTTTTAATTTTCAATCCACTGAGTAAGGGGAGGAGGATTTCTATAGCCTGTTGATGCCAGTGACCTACTGTCTCTCTTTGTAAAACAAGGATTGATTGACTTTTATATTTTGCTTCTTTGTAAATTGCTGCTTTGGTTCTTAAAACCTATTGTTGAAATCTACTGTGCTGTGCATTTGTTTGCATGTGTGGAAGAAGGGTGAAAAGGGCAGAGAGGGTAGAAATCACTTATACTCGATTTTTGTAAAACACTTCTTGAAACATTATTTCTTTTTCCACCTGTACCTACTTCTTATGTTACCCTTTATAAGCACTCCAGGGACAGTTTTTATAGTCTTTTTGGAACTTTTCTTTTGAAAGAGATGTACTCAGAAAATAACTATGTTTGAGAACACTTTTTGGGTGAAAGAGCAAGGCTTTTAAACCCCCTAAACTTTAGAGGAGATAGTGTCGGAAATAAAGGAGGAAGGGAGCATTGAGAAAATATGTTAGCCTATTATTTTAGAGTTCTAACAGACCCTCTCCAACACCTTACATTATTGAGAAAATTGAGGGCAAATGATTGTCCTATCACTTTTATTGGACATTTTACAGAGGCAAGGGAAATGGAAATGAATGGCTTCAACTCGGATCAGTAATAAGGAAGAGCCTGGTGTGACCGAGCATTCTGCTAAAGTGTTAGATGGAAAATGCTGTGTGCTGCCATGGGAATCAGAAATCATAGCCTGTGAGGCCTGTATTCTAGGAAATCAGAAGTAGTTCCCTTTTCCCGCTGGGTTAATGATTAGATAACTCTTGTTTTCTGGTGCAACTTTACTTTTGCTGCCATCCACTCCACTTTCACATAAGTTTAATGCCATGTAGCTGATCTTCTGTGTCTCATTCATCTGAAACCTGCACAGAAGCTGTTTTAGTCATTAATGTGTAATAAAAGTAATTGTAGAATGTGAATGGTCATATTGCTCTTGCCCACCATTTGAAAATAGGATCCAGCTCAGGCTGTAATTTGTTGCTATTTGTTTCATGGTGTTTTTTTTTTTTGGAAGTCCTCGAATGACTATTAATTCTTAATATCACCTCTCTTAGAAGGACACACACAAAAAAGAACTAATATTTTTAGAAATGGGGAAGTTATTGGATGATTTAGCCCATAGAAACATTTTAGTTTGAACAAGGAAATAATTTCTTGGCATAGAAGTTAGATTTGAAATGAGTCCTTGTTTGTTATTGATGGATGTTTCTTCTTCCTTTTTGGGCATGCATGAAGATCGAAACTTGGTGCTGATTCCCTGTAATTTATGGAATCTCAAATTTACAAAGTGAGTGTGCTCACCATGATCTTTCTAGGATTTTGGTGTGTAAGGTACTGATACCCATGTCCAGCGGTCACTGTAATTGTCAGCATCAAACGGGCAGTTATCATTATTAAGAGCTTCAGCTGGGCACAGGTGCTTTAATACTAATCGATTTTTCCTTCAAATGTCTTCATCTCTCACCTCTACTGCTAAACTGATAACGGGGACAGTTTCTTTACATTGTTTTAGTCCCTTACCTGAAAATATATATATTTGTGAACTTTGTGCCTTTTGGTGACTCTCAGTGCACAAAAGGAGTACACTTTCTTTTTAGTTGTCATAGTCTGTTGCTACAATGAAACAAATCATATATGTGTGTGTGTTTTTTAAAACATGCCATTTTCCCAGCTGGTGTGGCTCAGTGACTGAGCATCAACCTATGAATCAGGAGGTCACGGTTTGATACCTGGTCAGGGCACATGCACGGGTTGTAGGCTGGATCCCCATGAGGGGGCGTGCAGGAGGCAGCCAATCAATGATTCTCTCTCATCATTGATGTTTCTATCTCCCCCTCTTCCTTCCTCTCTAAAATCATAAAAATACATTAAACAAACAAACAAACAAACAGCATGCCATTTCATTGGCACCACTAAACATTTCCAAAAGGCCTCTGTCATTTTCTCTTGTTCTGTAGTCCCTTCCTAACACCCCCCCCACCCCCCAGTGGAGAATGATTCTTTTATTATTGATCTCCTTCCGTGCAAAACAGCCTCTTCCAGTGGCCACTAAGAGCACACTGTATGTTTTCTTCATGGCAGAGCATGTAGATGATGATTGACCATTAGGCTCAATAGGGCCTTGAACATAGCTTGGTCCTCATCGAATGTACGCACTCTGATGGTTACAAATAGGCATATTTTGGTTTTTTTGTGATGTTTTAAAAATAAAATTACATGATTATATGTTGTGAAACTTTCATAATTTAATTATTAAAGCAGCGATCAGTTAACTGTTTGGGGCTGCTATATCCAATATCACAAAATGACTAAATAGAGATAATTAACTAGAGATAACTTAATTTTTCCAAATGATTTTTAATTTGCAATATTTCCCCTGTAAATTTAACAAATAGATATTTCCCAAGTAAAGCATAATTTACTGATATCCATGTTAGATCTTCATTAGGTCTAGAGAGAGCCTTTCTTAGATCTGTCAGTTATCATTGCTTACCTAGCATAGTAGCAAGATGAAGTTCATTTGCAAGTGACGTTTTCAAAATAATGGTTCTTCTAAATAGAGCACAGTTATCCACCAAACTTGTAAAAGATTGATCATATAATGACCCTCTTACTCTCTGATACATCTAAAAATATGTGGGGACCAATAGCATTTCTGTTAGTCTGATGGAAGTATTAGGTTAGAAACTATGAGTGAATAAAGAGGGAGGAGATGCTGTTCTATTCATAGTCCCAAGTATTAGTGCTCTATGTAAAATGTGCATTTATTATCTTCTTGACACACATTGAAAGAGATATCAGAGTAATTACATGTCCTTACACATATGATGGTCATAAAATGTTTCTGAGATTGTGAAGTGTACAAATGGCACAGCCTGTCCCTCCTTATTCACCTGAAGACCTAATTCTAAGAAATGACTCATGGTTATTATTAGTAAGGAGAGTGAAAATTGGATATGACATCTTTATTTCAATGGGAGACATTAAGTCTCTATAAGACTTAACACAGCCATAGATATTTTTGAAGCTGTACTAAAGAAAGAAATTTAAAAAATTCTGAAAGATGGGTTTAAGTAAACATTTAATATTTTTAGCTGTTTGTGCCATGCAAGAGTTTTGGTTATATATAGGTAAAATATTCCACATTTTTTGGGGAGGAAAAAAGTTTTTCTCTTTTATAAAAATCATAGCATATACTTTAAAATGTTTTTCTGAGATTGAATTTTAGAAATCTATTAAGTAATACATGAAATTGTAAATTATATTTTGATATTGTTTAAAAATATATTACTCTTTTTCTACTTATCAAGGTATAAATCTTCATGTATCAATCAAAAGTAAATTACTTGTAAAGCTATAATAATTTTATATTTTGTATATTTAGAATGACTCCTTAAAATAAAAACCTTTTCATTAAAAATGTGATGTGTTTTTAACATGAAAAAAATAAAGATTTGAGGTTTTAAATATTAGACCTTTTAGTTTTGTTTAAATAAATGATGGGAATAACATCAGGCCTCTGATTGTTCAGACTTTTGGGTTTTTAATATGTTTGGTATATTTCTTTCTCAGCTTATTTTGTACGAGGCATAACTATTAAGGTCTCTTAGTTTTGAAATCCCCCAATTTTTGCTTTGATTCAATGAAAATACATGAGATATACATTGCCGCAGTACTTCAGGATAAAATAGTCATAAGCTGTTTCTGTTATGAGATGGAGGTTTAGCCAGGGTGACATTTCCCCCTCTGTTCAACCAGTTTTATGGCAGTAGTTTCCAAAAAATAACTGCCCTCCCCTGCCGGCCTGGTCTCCCCTAACTACTCTCCCCTGAAGGCCTGGTCGCCCCCAACTGCCCTCCCTTGCAGGCCCACTCACCTCCATTTTCCCTTCCCTGCCAGCCTGATCGCCCACAACTGCCCTCCCCTGCTGGCCATCTTGTGGTGGCCATCTTTGACCACATGGGGGTGGCCATCTTGTGCGAAGCGAGGGCATGGCAGTCAATTTGCATATTACCTCTTTATTATATAGGATCTGTTACAGAAGACCGGAGAAGAACCAAGCAACACTTTAGAGAGGTGGAGATCCACTTTATTATATGCTAGTGGACTCAGAGAAAAATGTCTTTTCAAATTCTGAGCAGAGCAAAAGCAGAAGTTTTCTTTTTATTAAAGAACCAGCCCTATGTGTGCTTAGTAGTTATCTTGCTGGAAGCTTGTGGCCTTGAAAACACATTTCTATCCAATTAAATAATACATCTGGCATGGCATGAGAGTATGGGTGTATCTAGTCTCTGGCCTACAAGGTCAGACAGCTAAGTTTATCTTCCTTAATATTCAAGCAGGCTAGAAAGAAAGTTATTTTTTTCAGAATAAGGGGCTATTTAAAAATAGCAGAGTTGACTTTACAGAATAAAGGACTATCTAAATAGCAGAGAATTTCAAACAGCAGTTTTACAAAATAGAGGTTAGCCTTCTCATATCCAGTTGGGATCTCGCTTCTGAGCTCTAGACTTAGATGTTCAGCTGCTTTCTTGACATCCCTGCTTGGTGTGTCAAAACTTGAACACTTTAGACTTTTCTTAGAAGTCTTATTTCCCTCAGTTTTTTCTAACGGTGGCATCATAATTCACCTCATTGCTGCTTTGCCTACCGTGTCTAATTTAGCAGCAAGTCCTTT